TAAACTGTAAAAAAGATTTATCTGATTTTGGTTCTCATGATTGACCCCAGATGTTAAGTCCTTGAAGCTTTAGCTCATACTTTAGCCTCACATTTAATTGATAGTTTGTATGGGTATAAAAATTTTGTTAAGATAATTACAATTTTTTAAAATACTGGTTAGAAATTTTTTTCTCAGAATTTTGAAGGCACTAATCTATTGTCTAATACCGTTCTGATTCTTAATCTTTTATGTCAAATTTGTTGGTTTGGGCTGGATACTTTTTCTTTTCTTTGTTCCCAGTGTCCTGAAATTTCATTGTGATATACCATGATATAGGTTTACTTTTAAACCATTGTCTTGGACACTTGACAGGCTTTCTCAATATCAAAGCTCATATCTTTCAGGTCAGAGAAATTTAAGTCTTAAGAAGACCCCTTTTTAGAATATCACTTTTTCTTTTCACATGGATGCAGTGTCTTCAGAAGCAATGAGTAATGCTTTTTTTCTTCTTTCTAGTTTTTTTCTCCCCCAAATTGTCTGCCTTTTTTATGGTTTCTCTTAAATGCTTTCCTTAAATGTCTGATAATATTTGACTCTCTACTCAGACTTAAGACTAAAGAACTTTAAAACCTGACAGGAAGGTCTGAATGCCTGGGTAGGATGCATTGACTAAAACCACCATTGTATCATGATCCTGCTGAGATCCTTCTTTGAGGAATTCAAAGGATCCCTTTACATACAATTCCAGAGAGTCCTGGTGCCTTTCTTTCCTTGTGAAATCTCAGAAGTACTTTGAGGCACATTCATTGCCTTTAGAACCTATGTCTAATTTCACCTGGAAAAATAATATTTTCTCTTTTCCATGATATGAGTGCATTGTTGGCATTTCACAATTTAAAGTTTTTATCTTTGCTTTTAGTATTGTGAAGATATTCCTATAGTTTTTATAAAATTAGAAGACGGTGGGCCTCAAAAAGGTACACTCAAGAATATATGTGGAAAAAAAAAAAAGAATATATGTGTACTTTTCAAGACAAGAGTCAGCAGCTTTTATCAGGTTCTTTATCCTGTGAATGACCCCCCAAAAAATGTCAAACAAAACCAAACAAAAGTAAAAAGTGACATGTTGTGTAAAGGGTGGTCCTTATCCTTGAATGTACATCAAAATTATTCAGCTTTTTTGAGCATCTACATTTCTAGACTCTACTCTTATACCAGGAAAAAGTTTCAGGAAAAGATATTTCAATAGACTACTCCTTGTTTCAACCACCACATGGTAGAATCTGCCCAAAATGGCTTGGTTGTACTACTGAAAGATGGTGTCCATTTGTATATACCAGATACACACACAGGCAGATAGATGTTCATAGTTCAGCAGCACTTTTGTCCTGAATAAATGATAGTTCCATTTTGGGTAACTCAACTCCTTTCTGAGTCAGCCTCATTTGGTTTGAACAGAGGATCTGCCGCAGTGATCCTCTAACTGAGCATATCAACATCTCCTGAAGTGCTTTTAAAATATATAAATTCTGGGTTTTCACACTCTGGATTTAGGTTCATTAAATCTGGGGAGTGATTCTACATTTTTTGTAGGCATCCTCGGTTATTCTGATGCTGATGATCAATGGGCTATATTTTGAGATATGCTAATCTAAATTTGCGACCAATATTATCCCTGAAAGTTTTTGTAGCAGGGTTGGGTTGAGAAGGTTACTTGTCTGCTTTTTATTGTTTTTTAAATATAATTAGTTCCTAGAAATCTAGTAAAAGGGGTGAGCAGTACATCTCTTAGACACAGACAGCAAAAGCAGCACTTTAGAAGGCCCAGCTCTGGGCTTCTCCCAGGCAGACTCCTTTTCAGAGGATGTGGAGTCCCAGAGGACATCCCTGAAAGTGGAAGTGTTAGTTGCTCAGTCATGTCCAGCTCTTTGGGACCCCATGGACTGTAGCCCACCGGGCTCCCCTGTCCGTGGAATTCTCCAGGCAAGAATACTGGAGTAGGTTGCCATCCCCTTCTTCAGGAGATCTTCTTGACCCAGGGATCAAACCCAGGTCTCCTGCATTGCAGGCAGATTCTTTACCATCTGAGCCACCTTGAAGTCTAACCCATTTGAGACCACACTTTGGGTACTCAGTACCCTGGAACTCCTTGCCCAGATGTTTACTTTCAGGGCCTGCATAGGCCTCTACCCTCTCAGAACCAATATGCACACTCCTAGGTCCAGGGGATAACTAGATAGCTTCAGTTTTATCAAATAGTCCCTTACTTTCAGATTTTTCGTCTCTCCACCAAAAACTTTCTCTATGCCTTTGCTATCCTATTTTCAGTTCAGTTTAGTCTCTCAGTCGTGTTCGACTCTTTACGACCCCATGAATTGCAGCACGCCAGGCCTCCCTGTCCATCAACAACTCCCGGAGTCTACTCAAACTCATGACCATCGAGTCGGTGATGCCATCCAGCCATCTCATCCTCTGTCATCCCCTTCTCCTCCTGCCCCCAATCCCTCCCAGCATCAGGGTCTTTTCCAGTGAGTCAAGTCTTTGCATGAGGTGGCCAAAGTTACTGGAGTTTCAGCTTTGGCATCAGTCCTTCCAATGAACACCCAGGACCGATCTCCTTTAGGATGGACTGGTTGGATCTCCTTGCAGTCCAAGGGACTCTCAAGAGTCTTCTCCAACACCATAGTTCAAAAGCATCAATTTTTTGGTGCTCAGCTTTCTTCACAGTCCAACTCTCACATCCATACGTGACCACTGGAAAAACAATAGCCTTGACCAGACGGACCTTTGTTGGCAAAGTAATATCTCTCTTTTTAATATGCTATCTATGTTGGCAATTATCAAATAAGAAAGCATTTTTTAAATTGCATCTCTGATGTTGAAGAAGTGACCCTTCTATCTATAGTTTTATTCGTATAATATTTGATGTCAATGATTACATTTGATATGAGGCTGCGGTGTTTTAATTGCAGTAAATTTTGTTAGAACAAAGAAAAGCTACAGCTTTCCCAACAATTGGGAAGTTTTAGTTCCTCTGCCACAATCCTCCTTTATAGCCAGGAAGAAGGAGGACACGCGCTCTATATTATTCCTTCAAAAGGGTCTGGGGACAAGAGAAAGGAAGAGATTAACTGACTTAATTTTATATTTGGAGCTATAAATCATGTTGCAATTCGGTGATAGGATGTTGCATCAGAGCATGTCAGTTGTAGTAATGCAGTGGGTATCACAACCACGGGGAGGTCTTTGTGGTGCTCTATGCCCTTTCCCTGGAGATTCAACTCGAAGTTTATCTCCCTTGTGCTATGCCAAAGAGGAAGGTTTTACTTCAGTTACATAGTAACTCACAGTGATGTTCTGTTAGCCTAGGGCACAGGAATTTCTTCATGTCTGAGCTTTCCCTGAGGCAGACATTGCTGTGTTGAGCCCCAGCATCCTTTTTGTTTCCCATTGTCACATACCAACAGAGATTTACTAGGGTTTCTTCACTTCTTCCGGGATGTCTATCAGGAAAGCTAGGAGGTGTTATGGCAAAGCTGTAATGTCTTTACCCTCAGAACCGTTAGTTTTGAAAGTGTATGTAATATTTCCTGACTATTTCACATTGCCTTTATCTCAAGATTTGAAAGATAGTTAGTGACCAGGAATTTGTCCCTAAAGAACAAATATTGCAGGTTGATAATACTGATAAGGGCAAGAGATATGAAGTGTATTTTTAGCAAATTCTTGATGGTCAAAGTAGATTTGGGTAGTTATTTGTTTTTATTGTTCTGGATTTTTAAAAAATCTATTGTAGGAGAAAATTCATGATGAATGAGAGAAATTAAACAAGTGATAATATCAAGATTAAATTTTATATTTTTGAAACAAATTATTGAAAAGAGGCTGATGTCTTAATTATATGGTAGTGGACATGATAGTATCTATGGGGGGGGGGGTTGGGAATTTGAAGAAACGGGCAAAGAAGGGGCAGATGAAAAGAAAATCACTCTCAATACTGGTAAAACTGGTTTGGGAGAATGTGGTTTTTGATGTATGACAACAGTGGGTTTTTCAGTATTGAACATTAGAGTTCGTCTGACTTGCCCACCCAGTAATAGGTAGCATTTGATCTCCATAGCCCTTCCCACACAAGAGTATGGCCCTGTAAGACTCCAGGGATGGAGAAGCAGAACCTGGTTCCCAGAGATGGAAGGAGAGGGAAAAGAGCTGAGCAGTACTTGCCATCCCTTTCCCCTACCCCTTCGTGAGAGAAGTCACTCTTTCTCCCTGAGAAGAATAGGGGAGAGAAGACAAAAATATTATACGTTCCCTCTACACAGAAGAACATATCATGGTGGGAAGAAAACATCTCTGTTCTCACTGAGTGATAATGGCATGGTGGTCTTTAGGCTGTTTTAACAGGATGGAGACTCAGCAAATGTTTTTGATTTGTAAACCATTATCATCATCATCATTCACAAAATTATGGAGACATGCTCTAAGACAGGGTGTGTGATAGTTCAGAGTATTGTCTTTATTAAGTTCATTTCTTCTGCAGATGTACACTGAAATATTTACAGATGAACTGATAGGATGAGATTTACCTCAAAATAATCAGGAACATGAGAAGTATATTGTAACAAGATTGTCCATGATGTGTTAGATGTTGAAATTAATGATGGGTACATGAGGTTTATGTTATTTCTAATATAGCAGAGGTTCATTTTGAATCTAAACTTGACTGTTAGTTGTGTGTCCTCAGCAAGCTATACCACCTGAGTCTCTTATTTCCTAATCTCTAAAATGAAGAAAGTAAAATCAACCACATAGGATTGTTGTAATGATTTCACTAAAAATAAATTATGTGCCCATTGCATGACATTTAAGAGTCAGTAAAAAATGTGATAGTTACTATTTATATCCATAAATTGAAAAAAGACCAAGATATCTTCTTGCTTAAATATGAAATGTTTGCTTTCTTGGAGTGTGTGTATTTCCCCAAGTTGAGTATATTAACTTGGATTTTGTTTTGACAGCTCAGGTGCCTAAAAGGCCAGAGAGGCTTCTCCAGCCAACCCCCTTTTGATGGAATCCACATCGTCAACCATTTAATAGGAGATGATGAATCATTCCATTCCTCTGATGAAGAGTTTATAGATAATTCCTTGCAGGAAAGTGGCATTGGTTTCCCTTTGCACAGAAAATCTGGTCCAATGTCTTTGGACCCTACTATGGCAGATGGGAGTGAAAGCGAAGCAGAAGACAGTGCACTGGGGACCAGAGAGGGCAGTCAAGTGGCTCAAAAGGAGCAGCCCCTGAGAAGAGCGTCGTACTCAACCACTGTCTGACCATCACTGTGACCTAGACTGTGGATTTTTTTTTAAGGGATCAGTTATCATGACTAAGGGTTTTTGGAACATATCTGTTTCATATGTATATGTGTGTGTATGTATATATAAATATATATTTTACAGTCTTATCTGCCTTTTTATCTTTGCCAAATCTTCACCACTGACTTACCATTGCCATAAAGTAGAATGGAATATGGTTAATGGGAAAAATGAGGTTCTAACAGTATTACTAAATATTAACATTTCTTGTTTAGAAAATGCAATTATATCTATATGTGGGGAACCATTTTGAAGTTCAGAACTATGGAAAATTGAATTTTCTTCAGACAGAGCTGTTCTTGTGCAATATTTTATGCTCAGTGAACAAATTGTATATTTTTATTTATCAATTTGTTTTCAGAGCAGCTGTCTACACACATTTAACCAAGGCATACATCTGAGTTATCTTGGTATTTTGTGTTTGGAAACTTCTTTTTTTTTCCAACTAAAATTACTGCTTTATTAGTGGGCCATTGAAAATTCCCAAATACAAAGCCTTTTTTCACATAATTTTATAAACACAAGTTAATGGTTGTCTTACGAATTTTAAGTTTTAATTTCAAATTTTTATGTGCATATGATGCTTCCATGTGTTGCCTACCAGAGTACTAGTTAGCTACAAATACATTGGGTTTTTGTACATATTTATAATTCTGTACCACCCAACACTGAACATTTTATATGGAAAATGTACTTGTTGAAAAATGACTGCCTTCAGCATTATAACTGGATCTCTGTAAATAATAGGTTAAAGAAAATTGAAAACAAAACCAAACACTAATATTGCAATAGCTTTAGTATTTTACTTATTAGCATTCAGCACTAGCAAATTCATAACTGATGCTTATTCAAAGACACTATTGGTGAAATCTTTCACTTCATGTGTATGTAACTACTAAATTTTTCTTGATTAGAGAGGTTATAGCAGGCATCACTTAGTGCTAATATTCTACTTAATATAATTTAAGCAATGGACTGAGGTCCACGATGCACAACAATTATATCTGCAAATAATCTATGAATATTATCTTCAGATTCTCTCTAGTTACTGATCTATAGATGAAGCAAGCCATATGAATCCGTTCCTACCAGTTCTTTATCATCTAGATTTTTTTTTTTACCCTAGAAAACTGATGCCTGTCATTGATAAATTAGAGGAAACACCCAAACTTCATTTCCACTATGGAAAGACTCCAGAAATGTGTTGGCTGGATGCTTTCTACTTTTTAATTTTCCTCAGCAGCTTATGAAAAGAAAATAATCCTCAAGAATAAGTGGAAGGCAGAATTCAGTAAATACAGAGGTAAATTTTGTACAGTGTGTTGCATGCAGGAAAAAAAATACATGATAAAATGGAATAGAAGAGAAAAAAATAGTTTTCTAAAACAAGGAGGTAAGCCTTATGGTACATTGTAAGCAAGGCTTTCCTAGCAAGCCCTTTGTAAGCAAGCTCTTGAGAGAGGAGATTGAAAAGATGCCTCCTGTGTCCATAGCTCCAGGCTAAATTCTAGTGATTAAGTAATTTACCTGTGGCCACAAGTTAGTAAATATCAGCTAAAGTTTTAATCCAGATCTCTCATCAGAGCGTTTGAAAGATCGCTCCAAAGCATTTGATAAGGCTCAGCTAAATGAATTTATCAATTCCCTGCTTTTCTGGCAATTAATGTGATTTAAATAAATTTGACTTAAACTGTTTCCTGGATATATTACAGAGATATATATCTATATATACAGATATATATATACAGCTTTATAATCTATAAAGCTTATGAATGTAGGTACTACTAGAATTGTCTGGTGCCTTTGGGATTCTCTTTTTGGGTTCATTGCTGTCATTCTTGAGGTTGTTGATGCCCAAGTGAAGTGAGATGATTTATGGCCACATGATAGCTTTGACCCCCCACATCAAGAAGTCTGAATGGTCCAGCCCATAAGCTAGTTCCAGCCAACAGCCTATTTTTACATGACCCACAAGCTAAGAGTGATTTTTATATTTTTAAAGAGTTGAGGGGAAAAAAATCACATGAAAATCATATGACCTTCAAATTTCAGTGTCAATAAAGTTTTATTAGAGCATACCCACGCTTCTTCATTTGCATATTGTCTGTTACTGCTTTTGTGCTACAGTAGCACAGTAAAGTAGCTTAAAATATCTGTCACTTTAGAGAAAGTTTGCAGATTTTAATTTAGATACTCTAACATGTAGGTTTACCTCTTCAGTTTGTCTCAAGTAGAAGATTTGCTTTTGCTATTGAACTAATGGTTTGGACCTAAAATTTCCTGGTGGATCCTATACGTAAAACTGTTCAAAATGGAGAGGGTGCCAGCTATTTTAGATTTTGAAGTGTTTGAAGACATAGAAAATTCGGAAGGATATCTATGCCTTTGGAAATGGAGGAAAAAAGGAAAGAATTCCAGAATCTTGGCACCATTCTCTAAAGCATGCATCATTGACCTTTAGGGTATGCTTCATTGAGTCAGTGTTATAATTTGATTTTAAAAGTATGAACATCCTTTTAGAATCATGTTTCAATTCTAAACTTTGAAAGATATCCTTAGAGAATTTCCTAAGGACTGTTTCTGGTTAGGAATTAGTTGTTAAGTAAACCTTAATCTGTTGGGACTCTTGTAATTTGAATAGTGAAAAACTAAAAACAACAATCTTTTCTTTCAAGATCTTTGATTCAGATACTTCTTAGAAGGGTTTAAAATCTTCCTGGCCTTTAGGATGTAATAGGATAACTTGTTCACTTGAAATAGATTATTTCTGGTGTCATTGTCATCCTGGGTTGAAATGCTGAGAAGAGGTTACAAGTCACTTGAATAAAGTGAAAATTACATTGAGGTGATTAAGCAGAGACCTTACAGACCAAGAAAATATTTCAATAGGCTATTAAAAAATAAGTGGAAAAAATTTTTGTTCCTGGAAAAATATGTCAAAGATATAACTACATGATTTCTACCCTTTTTGTTGATAGGGTTAAGCATTCAGTGTTTGATGACTAACTGAGATCAAGTCCCAACCAACTGGCTGGATATATGGGGAAGGAAAAAAAAACTTTTTCTTAGCTCTGAATGCAGCTTGTTACTCTCCAGATAGTGCCTTTGATTGAAAACAAGGTCTAGACATTTTTAAGTATTTTATTTCTGACATCATTAGAAATGACATGGTTCCTCATGCTTCTTTTTCTTTACATAATGCACTATAATGTTCAGATTTAAAGTAAAATGGGTATATGAATCGTGTTTTAATAAAGCCCTTTCACGGCCAGCTTGATTTTTGTATAAGTACCAGGCATCAACAACTAACATTTCATTAAATCAGTGATTTACTTTGTTAAAACAATGAACTTTAGCCTGAAAGTTATTGCTGCTCTGTCATTAATGAAACAATAAGTTTTTTAGTTAATTCATTCTACTGAAATTAAATTTTCTGATTAAAAATGGAGTGAATGCTATTTATAATCCAAGTTTTTACATTACATCCATTGATCTGCCTATACCTTCTTTTCATTCCAAAGAAGAGAAGATAGAATAATACATTAAATATACTATAGAGATGCAAGATTACTATAATGTATTTCATTTTACTGTTGGAATTTCTTATTGTAACATTATATGATAACCTGAAATGTTTACTTGTGCCTTTGCTTTAAACAATTAAAGTTTTCCATTTTATAAGAATTTCTGTTTCCTTAAACTATTCAACTTAAAAGGGAGTAGGCATCAAAGGTCTGTCTAAAAAGGTATAGCCTAACATCAGGTATTCATGAGTGAGGCCTGTGTTCTCTGGGTATAGGGACCATATCCATCTGGTCTACCCATGTATAACTAGTGCTAAACAGAGAGCCTGGTATATATTTTTCAATAATGAAAGCCTAAAATACCCAGATTTGTTATTTCCTTCAGAAACATTTATTTTTTGAAGATTGTAATGGCAGTATTTTTATCTCACATTGTGTTTTAGGTTATTTGGTTAGTAACTGATTCAATAAATATATTTAAATATATAATTTGAATATATACACAGGTAATTATAAAAAGAAATTTATGCCTTCTGCATCATTACAATGTTCAGTTCAGTTCAGTTGCTCAGTCGTGTCCGACTCTTTGCAACGCCATGAATTGCAGCACGCCTGGCCTCCCTGTCTATCAACAGTTCCCGGAGTTTACTCAAACTCATGTCCATCAAGTCGGTGATGCCATCCAACCATCTCATCCTCTGTCGTCCCCTTCTCCTCCTGCCCCCAATCCCTCCCAGCATCAGGGTCTTTTCCAATGAGTCAACTCCTCTCATGAGGTGGCCAAAGTATTAGAGTTTCAGCTTCAGCATCAGTCCTTCCAATGAACACCCAGGACTGATTTCCTTTAGGATGGGCTGGTTGGATCTCCTTACAGTCCAAGGGACTCTCAAGAGTCTTCTCCAACACCACAGTTCAAAAGCATCAATTTTTCAGTGCTCAGCTTTCTTCACAGTCTAACTCTCACATCCATACATGACCACTGGAAAAACCATAGCCTTGACTCGATGGACCTTTGTTGGCAAAGTAATGTCTCTGCTTTTTAATACGCTATCTAGGTTGGTCATAACTTTCCTTCCAAGGAGTAAGCATCTTTTAATTTCATGGCTGCAGTCACCATCTGCAGTGATTTTGTATCATTTAATTCAGAAGCAGTAGTTCATTGTATATGCTGCTTTATTCCCAAAAGGATTTAAGGCACTTCACAAGGGTACCTGAACTATGACAGGATAATTATAATCCAGGATTTCTTACCTTGGCACTGTTGACAGTTGGGGCCAAGTTGTTGCAGGTGGCTGTCCAGTACCTGATTGGATGTTTGTCAGCACCCCTAAGCTCTATGCACTAAGTGTCATAGCTCCCCCTCCTTCAGTCATGATAACCTAAAATGTCTCCAGTTGCCAAAAGCTGGGAGGACTGAGAATGAAAATCACCCCTGGTTGAAAATCTCTGGTATATATTTAGAAGTGAGTCAGAAAACAAAAAGCCACTAGGACCAAAACTAAAAATATTTGCACCTATTGAAGATGGATAACAAGTTTGACTGTTTCTAGTAGCCAATGAGAAAAGTAAAACCTGAACCACAGTGAGATGTCTCTTCACACAATGGCTATTAAGACACACACAAGTGTTGGTTAGGGTATGGGAAAATTGGAACGCTTGTCCATTGCTGCTGGAAATGTAAAATGGTGCAACCGTTGTGGGAAAGTTTTGTCAGTTCCTCAGAAAAGCTAAACACAGACTTACCATATGATCCAGCAATTCCACTTCTAGATGAATACCCAAAATAAGCCCTCAAACATACTTGTACAACAGTGTTTATAACATCATTTTCACAATAGCAAGAAGGTAGAAGTGACAAATGACAACAGAGAAGTGGGTAAATAAAATATATACACACATGTAATGGAATATTATTCAACTATAATAAGGAATGAATTGTTTTTTTAATGCCATATCTTGTGACTTGCTGGATCTTAGTTCCCCACCTAGGAATTGAACCTGGGCCCCAGCAGTGAAAGCACCTAACCACTGGACCACCAGGGAAAATCCTAGGGATGGAATTCTGATACATGCTACAATACGGATGAACCTTAAAAAATGCTAAGTGAAATAAGCCAGACACATAGTGTATTTCCAGTAATCCAAAGTACCTAGAGTAGCAGATTTATAGACATATATACAAGTATTTCTGTACTTGGCCAACATGTCTAATGTGTAGACATCAACCATGGGATGGGGGAAAGGGAAGTCATTGTTTAATGAATGCAGATCTTCTGTTTGGGATGATGAGAAAGTGCTGGAAATGAATAGTAGTGAAAGTTGCACAACACTGCATGTATTTAATGCTACTAAATTGTATATTAAAAGTGGTTGACATAGGGACTTCTCTGGTGGCGCAGTGGATAAGAATCCCCCTGCCAGCGCAGGGGACACCGGTTTGATCCCCGGTTTGGGAGGATTCCACATGCCACAGAGCAACGAAGCCCATGTGCCACCGCTGCTGTGCGCCAAAGCCCGTGAGCCACAAGTACTAAGGCTGTGTGCCGGAAGTACTGAAGCCTGTATGTGGGGAGCCTGTGCTCCTCACCAGGAGAAGCCACTGCAACGAGAAGCTCACACACCGCAATGAAGAGTAGCCCCAGTTCTCCGGAACTAGAGAGAGCCCACACAAAGCAAGGAGAAGATCCAGTGCATCCAAAAATAAATAATTTTTTTAATGATTGAAATAGTTTTTTAAAAATAGGCATGTTGAGGACTTACAGTTGGCTTGTAAGTTAAATATGTTCAAGTGAGGATATATAGGAGGGAAAAAACCTAAAACCTAAGAGTCATAAGATTTGCAATGCCCATGAAATAAATAATTTTTTAGGTGTAGAGCTCTGACACTAGACTGTGACTCAAACTTTGTGTTGATGAAAGCTGGACAAGTCGCAGAACTTGGTGGCTTCCTTGCTGCTCCTGGGTCACCAGACTCCTGGGTCCTTTCCCTTCCTGCAGTGGCCGCTGGCCACATCCCACAGTCCTCACTCCCTATCTCCATTTGAACTCTGTTCATGTACAGCTGTGTAGGAGGCCTCTTCTGACCCTTCTTTTCTAAAAGCCCCTTCCCAGCTTTATTTTTCTCCATTGCATTGATAACTATCTATGTATTTTATATTCATTTGTTTTTATTCATCTGCTCACACTAGAATGCAAATTTTATTATTTTTGTCCCTATCCCCAGTATTCAGGACGACATCTTAGCTCATGATACATGGTTATTGAGTGAATGAATGAACAGTTGAATAAATCACTGTACCTCTGTTTGTTCACTGTTGAAATGGGATAACATCTGCAAAATACGAGTGTCAGTGGAAAACCCAGAATCTCAGTGCACCCAGCCTGACTTCGGAGTCCTCTAATTACTCAATAACTGCTTCAGCAAAAGACATCCACCAGCACTGTTGAGGAGGCAGAACCAGACCTCTGGTCCTCACACATGGTAGGAGAGATAGAAAGTACAGATACAGTGCTGTTGGAGTCCAGAGATTACATCCGACTTGCAGGAAAGGGCCTGCTTCATACCCCTTCCTCACTCTCTGCCATCCGAAAGCCCCACCCAGCACCAGGGCCGGGCCTGTGATCCCTGCAACTACTGCGAGTCCCATCAGCTCCTGTCCAATGACTGGCTCTCCCCCAAGCACTAAGGTCTCCTGATTGGGGACTTTGGCTTCATCTCTTCTGCACTCTAGACTTTACCAAGGATGTCTAGAAATGAAGAATCATAAGCCAGAGTGGGGGATTTCAGGCCCAGAGTATTTTTTTATATCCTGAGTTGACTCTTACAAACTAGCGACTGCTGCAAGGGATCTTCTTCTCAGGCTGTCCTCAGAAAAAGGAAGAGCAGGGCCAGGTGGAAGACTGGTTGACTTTCAAGATGTTTCTCTGATTTTTTTTTTTAAAGGAAATGCATACTGAACACATGAGAGACTCCAGGGCTGAGAGATGCCGTGGCAGTTGAGACGCACCTGGGAGCGCCTAACTGCTCCTGCCTCTGCCGTAGCGGGTGGGCCAGGCAGCCCCTGCCCACAGCCCTCCTCAGCAGACGGACCAGAGCCGCCCAGCAAGTCACGGCTCCCTGTCTCCTCTCCTGCCAAGGACTCTTCTTTCTCTCCAGGCGAAGGCTGTCCTGGTCTCTGGTGTCTCCTCTGTCGTGCCCACCCAGGTCTGGTCTAGGGGACCCTCCTTGGTGTTCGCTCTACTTCTGTCTTCTGTGGACCTGCTGAACCCCAGCCAGGCCGATGCCTCTCCGTGGGTAGAAGAGCCAACAGCTGTTCCCCAGAGCCTTGCACTGTCTCTCTGTTTTGTACGTCTAGAAGTCCAGCTTCCTCTATCCTTGGGCCTGGCGCTCAGGACTGGGCCAACTACACTCCGTTTACAAAGAGAGTTTTAAAACTTTTGGTGCATGAATATACATTTGTTTCCGCAGCCTTCTAACAACAGATCAACTTCTGGTCAGGCTTAGGCTGTCAGTTTAAAGGCATCTCTGAGCCACTTACCTCCCCCTGCCTCATCACCCCACTGAGTGGCTGCCAGAACTGCAGAAGCCAGCTCCCAGGAGAGCAGGTGGAAACCCCAATGGTGAAGAGTCGTGATGGTCAGCATAAATTTATAAAGAAAAGTGTCAGGCATTTTCCCCCCAATTAATGCCCAGTCAATTCAAAGGCGAAGGCCAGGTCCAGCTCTGCCCTGTTCCAGCAAACTGCCTTCCAGCTGTGCTCTGAGGAGGGTTGTCCCTGGCGGGCAGCGCCCCGGGCCAGTGCTGGGATTTGAGTAATCACAGGCCCAAGTCGGGTGTGTGGGAAGGTGTATTGTTTGGCCTGGCTCACAGCCCTTAACACTCTGCAGCTATTTTAAACGGATCCCACAACCTTTTATTTGCTTCACTAATTTCTCTAAAATAGAATTGTTTATTTGTGGGTCAAAATTGGAGAAGCTTCTTATTCATCACCAAACTGCTCTTTGATGAGACTGGAGACTACCTAAGCTCCAGAGCCCAGAAGGACTTGGCACTGAGTCAGTAGTCAATCAACATTAGCTAACAGCAAGATCGTGTGTGGTGTCTCCGAATCCCCAGAACCAGAACAGACCACCACTCAGTAGTCATGGATTTGCAGGTTC